TGATTTAATTTTTAAATTTTTTTTTCTTTTTTTGAGACAGGGTCTTGCTATGTAGTTAAAGCTGGCTTTGAACTTACTTTTTGTAGCCCAGGCTGGACTGGAACCTGCAGTGATCCTTCTGCCTCAGCCTCCCGAGTGCTGGGACTACAGGGCCCATGCCACCATGCTGAGCATTTTGTTTTGTCTTTTTTTGCTCATGATCTCAGTATGTAGCCCAGCTTTATGTTGTACTAACCATGTAGCCCATGCTGTGATTGAATTTGTGATCTTGGTTTAGTCTTCTGAGTGCTAGAGTTAGAGGTGTGAATTTCCACACTTAGATTTTTTTTTAAGAGACTAGGTCTTACTAGGTTTCCAGGTAGATTTAAACTTGTGATCCTCCTGATTCAGCTTCCTGAGTAGCTGGGATTATATCTGTGTATTCCACCGGAGATACTAATTCTGTAAAACAAGAGTGTCATGCTCTGCCGACTGAGCTAGCCAGGCACCTTAATTTTGTAAAATAAAAACTTGTACAAAGAACAGTGGCAGCTGGGCATGGTGGCACGTGTGTGTAATCCTAGCACTCAGGGTGGTGAGACAGGGCTGGGGATTATTTATTTATTTATGTATGTATGTATGTATGTATGTATTTATGTATGTATGTATGTATGTATGTATGTATGGTTTTTTTGAGTTAGGGTCCCACTATGCAGTTCAGGCTGGCCTTGAGCTCACTTTGTAGCCCAGGCTGGTCTCGAACTTCCCACGATCCTCCTGCCTCAGCCTCCCAAGTGCTAGGATTACAGGTGTGTGCCACCACACCCGTTTGGGGCTGGGGATATAGCTCAGTTGCACAGCACCTGCCTGGCAAGCGTGAGGTCGTGAGTTCGAGTCCCAGTACCGGGGGGGAAAAAAAAAAAGATGGTAAGGCAGGAGGGTCGCTGTGAGTTTGAGACCAGTCTGAACTACAAAGCCGGGACCATGTCTCAGTCCTGCCCCACCCCCGAAAAAGAAGGATAAGGCAGATAGATGATGAGTTTGAGGCCCGTCTGGGCTGTGTAGTGAGAGCTTGTCTCAAACCCAAAGCCCCTCTGCAAAACACCCCCTAACAAAGTGTCAGGAAATTTAAAAATGCTTCTTAAAGGCTAAATATAGAGAATGGTGTGGAAGGCTGGACATGATAGAGCATTCCC